ACTGCCTTACATTGTTTTAATTACTAACGTATGCAAGTACTGCCTTACATTGTTTTAATTACTAACGTATGCAAGTACTGCCTTACTTTGTTTTAATTACTAACATATTCATTACCAGAAAATTATTTTTCAGCAGATAAGAGAACAAAAATATCCATGTATTTTAATGTATTTCGTATGTTTTCCAGGTTCAACTTTCATGGAGACTTGGATGTGAGCGATAGTGAAAATGAAATGGTAAGCTGAGTTTTCTGGGTGTAAATACGTATTAAAAAGATTTAATGTTTGATAACATTATGAACTTTGTTTATAAGGACCCCAAACTTTGACATTATTATTATTATCCACACCCATTAACATTAACGAATATTATTTACTGGGATCACATTGGCAGACGTACCAGCTATATCTTTATTCATGCTAGACTATTGTGTATAATTATCTAGATTACTGTAGCGTAACAAACGGTCGTTTTAAAGCAGGTGTTTGTGACTTTAAGTAAACAAAAACTAATGTAGTTTACCTACTTCACTACGTGCAGAGACCCGGTTCTTTACCTACTCGACCTTTTGTATTCATCGTAATGTATTGATATTGAGTAAACAGTAGTTTTCTTTGTTTGTATTTAAGCACAAAGCTACACAATGGTCTGTCTGTTGCTGTGTTTACCACAGGTATCGAAACCCGCTATTTAGCTTATAAGTCCATAGACTTACCGCTGAGCCCCTTGTGGTGGGGCAGTAAATAGTAATAAAGAAATCCGTTTTGTCGCTTGTACAGTATATCATTTTATTATTGAGAATTCCTTATAAAATACGTATACAATTATGACAGTGTGTATTCATTTTTAAATATTTTTCTTACACACGTCTAACCCAAGTGTAACAGATAATGCCTGAATAAACACACGAGAAGATTCTCTTGTATCATGTAGTAAATATTGTGTTAGTGTTGCATGGTTTACAGAAGGTAATGACGACACTTCATATACTAACTGCTTTTAATTGTGTGTAATGTAAGTAGTGTACTATTCGCAAGCGTTTTCTGTCCCCACTCGTGCTTCTGTATTGAAGGTGGTCTGTGTACGTTATTTATTTACTGGTTACGTACCTCTTCAGTGGAATTTTCAATAGAGCCAAAGAGAAAGAAGGCATAAGTACGAGTAGCAGCGTAATATTGAATAGAACCAAAGAGAAAGAAGGCATAAGTACGAGTAGCAGCGTAATGTTGAATAAAACCAGAGAAAGAAGGCATAAGTACGAGTAGCAGCGTAATATTGAATAAAACCAGAGAAAGAAGGCATAAGTACGAGTAGCAGCGTAATGTTGAATAAAACCAGAGAAAGAAGGCATAAGTACGAGTAGCAGCGTAATATTGAATAGAACCAAAGAGAAAGAAGGCATAAGTACGAGTAGCAGCGTAATGTTGAATAGAACCAAAGAGAAAGAAGGCATAAGTACGAGTAACAGCGTAATGTTCAATAAAACCAAAGAGAAAGAAGGCATAAGTACGAGTAGCAGCGTAATGTCGAATAGAACCAAAGAGAAAGGTGGCATAAGTACGAGTAGCAGCGTAATGTCGAATAGAACCAAAGAGAAAGAAGGCATAAGTACGAGTAGCAGCGTAATGTCGAATAGAACCAAAGAGAAAGAAGGCATAAGTACGAGTAGCAGCGTAATATTGAATAAAACCAAAGAGAAAGGTGGCATAAATACGAGTAGCAGCGTAATGTTGAATAAAACCAGAGAAAGAAGGCATAAGTACGAGTCGCAGCGTAATGTCGAATAGAACCAAAGAGAAAGAAGGCATAAGTACGAGTAGCAGCGTAATATTGAATAAAACCA